AGGAGATTGGAGGTTATGAAGCCTGCATACCATACTTTTTTCTATTAGATAAGCTGTCAAAAACACAATTAACAAGCAGGCAATACCCTAAGAATGATTAAACAGTATTTAAGTGAGCAATACTGCAACCTTAAATTTTATTTTAAGTTGGATTTCCATCTACCATAATGTATTTTTTAAGTATTTAAAAGGGTTTGTTACGTTTGGCTTTCTTGGATTTTAAGTTTCAACGACACTGAGGTCATGTGAAAACATTCCTGCTTTACTGTAAGAAAAGACCCCAGATACCATTTGTGAAACATTTAAGACACGAGCGTGCACCTGACTAGAACCACCGACCTTCCGTAAATTAGCTTGATAAATTCTTTACATACAAAGAATCCAAATCCGGTAACAAAGTGATCCCTCGGAAGCATTAATCACAACAAAATGACAAGAGAATTGCAGACTCAGTTTGATTGAGTCTGTACATGAGGGATAATGAATACGTGCAACATCCCTCACGCCCCCTAGCACCGGCTTGAGCGGTACTCAATTCTCAACACTTAATAGTGCTGGCATCAATGATCCCGAAGGACCAGAAAAATATAGCAACACTGAAGTGAAGACAGGGGCAACTTTTTACAGCTGCCACACAGCACTTGACACCTACTGTTGTGAAGTATAAAAATCTGGTAACAAAGTGAAAGTCATGATTGGATTGTAAATGAAAGATGATTTGAAGTCGACGGCCTTATCCCGACTCTGCCACTATTATGTACCTCCACAGACTCACTAGAGAAGATATTGTAATTGTCTGACCTTAATTTATACTCTATAAGTTTCAGTATTATTTTCTCTTTCAGAAACATGACAACTGCTACACAGGATGTCTGAAATAAAAAAAAAACGACTATTAATTTAACAATGACAAACTAATCGTAACTTCAACAAAGAAGCATTCGAAATGACGCCATGATCATGATTTGATTTTAATGCTTTTGGTTCGAGATGAGAAGGGTCTGTAAACATTGCCTTTTTTCAAAATCTATGTTTTGGGTTTTCGTATCCTCGATTGCAACCGAGACCATTTGAACAACTTACTAGTAATAAGTAGAAAGTCATGTTAATTTCATCACATTTAGTCAAGTAGTAACTGAGCGGATGAGATTGCACACACATCTGTACGACAGACTGACGAGTAGCCATCGGGCCAATAAGCTGACAGAGATTTAAAAGTCTATGTCACATTAGTATATATAGAAAATATCGAAGTCTAAACTGTAACCGAAATCTGGGTATAAACTGTAACAAAATCGGATACAAATCGCTAGGTCTATGCTGTAACCCTGCACAAATCACCTCGCTCTATACTGTAACATTGTTTATTTTTTTCAAACGCATTTAACGAACAGGAAAGTAGGTTCAACTGGTCATTTACTTTTATAAAAGTTCCCTAACATAAAGACTAACGTTTTGCAGATTTACTTTTTCTAGGCATGCATAAATATTGTCGAAATTGGAGAAAAATACGTTGGTCTCTCGATTCAAATTTTCAAACTGTCAATTCTGCATATTTATGAGACAATATAGAGATAAATCTGCGGTGCAATGTCTGAAGAAATATATGACTAGATACCGGATTCTGTTCCTTACAAGCAAAGCACAAAAACATCTTTTAGAACCTAAACTACTTGTAGTATGGACCGGAATAAAAATCACCTACCTCTTTTCCCATAAATAATCCTCCATCTTGAAAATTCTATACTGTAACCGAAAAACGCGATACTGTAACACGTTCCCTACGGTGAAAGGGACTCAACTAAGATATTTTCCCGAGACTTGTGTACCATTATAAAATAAAATTGCAATGCTTTTCATTCAAATCGGACTAATATAGTTCTGAGTATATTTATTACCATTTGCAGATTTTTCTATTTTAAATGCTTTACTTGATTTATGTAAGAATTTCAAATTTTATGATTTTTAGGCTATTGACCTTTTTGGAGCTTTTCCACTGAAGTGCAAAGGCATATATAAAAACAAACAAAAATGTGTTTTTACTTAAATCATTTAAAAATGCAAATATAAAACGATAAATATATACTCCGAATTAAACTGAAAATGTATTCTTTGTGCGATTTTTAGCCCCATTTAAGTAAAAATGTTTAAACACTTTTCATTTTTGGAGCATTTAGCACAATTAAAATGATAATTATCAGACTGGTTAACAGAGTAAGCGAATGGTCTGAAATTTTGCGAATAAGTTATAATATATCGAATCATTAAAAACTTTCTCAAACCTTTTGAATTAAAAAAAAATAATTCTTATTTCATGGGTAATATAAAATATAATATATATTTTTATTTGAGCCTCATCCATACATAACAAAATAAAACAATTCAATTACATTAAAAATAAAAGTTGTTTGTGTCCGTCTATTCTAATCAGAATTATAAGAGACTATAAAAAAAATCTAATGGAAGGGAGGCAACTCTGCAAGAATTTCAAATATAAATTACAGAGTTAACTCTCTTCTCATTCCATATTCATATGCATATGCTAAATAAGAAACTATTGTTACTATAATTGCTTTAAATGGAAAAACCCAAGCCATGTTCTGTTACTTAAAACCATAAATTAGACTGAATAGCAATAGATTCTTAACCTATAAAATCATATTCTGGATAAAATTATTCCGCATCATTGAAAAGATAAGACCTATATAAATAAAAAAATAAAACATTGTCTGTACACATAACGTCTTTGCTTAAAAATAAAATAAAAGAAGATTGAGGAATCAGTTACTTATTATTAACTATGAGTATGTTTACCCTTTCAAGAGACCTCGAGAGTTTTGTACAAATATCCTTGTCTAATGATTAAAAGTATTAAAATATAACCAACCTTAAAATCAGACTTATAAATACACAGATAAGTACAATTTCTCAATAATATAATGTAAGACTCTCAGTTTGTTGGATAAAAATGTTCAATAATTTAAAAGTAACCTATTAAGAAACAGTTCTCAAGAATACAACCAGTTATATCTAGTTTTAAGAATATGGAAAAAGGATTTTGCAGCACACTTTACAATATCAGTATTGGAAAAAATTAAATGACAGTTTATTGTCATCTGACAGCCTTAAAAATTGCCCATTTACATTTTCTGCTTTGGCAAATAAATCTTTCCTAATATCCTCATACCTTTGACAATACAAAATAACACGATTTTCATCTTCAATGCCAGTTTTACAGATTGGACAAATTCTTTGGTATATAAAGCTATCATATCTGCCAGTTTCGAGTCTAATAGGGGCTACCCCACATCGAAACTTTGCAAATGCTGTTCTATGCTTACTCGGCAGGATAGCAGTTACATATGTTTCTGTTTCATAACTAAACTTAAAGGTTCGGTAAGTCCTCAATTTATTTCAACTTTGCTCAGAACTACTATTTATTGTATGTACTGTAGTGATCAATCCAGTCATCCAAATACTCGTACAGATATGAACTGGTTAGCTTTTCCACCAAACAATTTTTATTGAAAGCATTATTAAGAACTAAAAATTCACCACAGTTATATTTCTCAAAAAAATTATTTTACACTTACTAGATCTACCTGCCTGCTTATAACAGTACATATTTATTTCACAATTTATTCTCATACTGTTTATACTTGCAGATTGACACCAAGTACTCACCACACATTTAATTTGTTTAATAAAGATAGGTTCCCAGCCCATGTCCTCAGCATCTGCAGCATTTGAAGTGTATCTGCTTGTCCCTAAGAAAAACCTCATTGCCCGGTTCTGTACTGCTTCAATACATGAGTACTTTCATGTACCCAAAATGACTGCACTATAACCTATAACGGGCCAAATAAATACATTGAAAGGCATACTTCCAAGTTGCTTAAATTTTGCAATAATATGTCCAAGAGAGCTAATAGCTGACAAAGCAACAAATGTTGCTGTAAAGTTTAGTCAAGAAACTCGTTATTAAAGTGTATTTATTGCATGTGTGTAGTTTTTGTGTGTTAAATGATGACTTTAAAAGTTGTTTTTTTGTGTATTCTCCAGGAACTCATTTGTTGGTGGAAGGATTAAAGATGTACTACCCACCAGCTGTCATGAGTTTTTAAAGTGGTGAATTTAAACAGTGTTACAACAGAATGAAGATTTCTGAAAATAGAAGATGGCTAACCTATTATATTTTGGGCCTCATTGGACTTAGATAGTGTTAATGTTTGAAGTTGAAGACAGTATATAATTCATGAAGAACAGTGGAATCCAGAATTAAGCCTCAAATTTGGCTGATTTACTATAGAACAAATAGTACGAAAATTCACCGGGCCGAGTCCAAGATAAGAATGAACTATGTAGAAGATGCCACGTTCCCTATTACAGGACAAGTAAAGTTGCCCATTTCTTACATGTCTTTAAAACTGTCAGTTTTTTAATGACACTACATACTCATATTGTGATTATCTAAAGTTTGAAGTAATTTAAACAAGACATATCTACTTTGTGTGAAGTCCAGACATTTTTACTTTATATTTACAAAGAGACTATGCAGCAATTATCAATATGTTTTTAATATGAAATTTGAGCATAGTATAAAAAGAAATATTCTCCAAAAAATACTAAAAGTTCCTTAAGTTTTAACAAGACTTGTCGCTTCTAAATTATAACAATGTACAAGACAATGTTTATAAACATCAATCATGTAATTTACCTTATTTCTGTTTACATAAATATGTGCATACGCACCTATTTGCTTTACAAAGACACATAAAGATATATCTGAGATTTAATAATTTTAATTCAAGAGGCTAATGGGAGGTAACTAATTTATAATTTATATTTCAATCTTGTATCTAGTTTTTGACTGTGAATGTATTTACTTTCTGTGTTACAAAATAAAACAAATGTCCTTAAAATGTGAAATCAAACAACGAGTGAAATTTAACATATGGACACTGTTGTAATAATTTCAACAAGTGCTTAAAACGATCATCCTTATCTTAATGACCTCATGTCAGTACAGTTGCCAAAGTCAGTAGAATGTGGATATAGAACTTGGCCACAAAGGTGCACGGCATAAAAGCGTATGTACATTACAAATGTTATATATTTCAGTGAAATATTTATTTATTATTTGTGTCATAGTTTGAAGATCTTTCTGTTAAAATGTGTTTGAGTTAAATACTATACCCATACATGCACAGTGAATATACTGGAGTTACTAGCACTGTTTGTCGGGGATAAAAATATAAAGCATGTTCGTTGATAGGCTACAATTTTCCCACTTGTTTACATATTGTGACGACAGGGAAAGATAACGATAGAAAAAGCATATTCAGATGCTCGTACATTGGTTACTTGTTTCTAGGGTTTTATATTGTGACAATAGGGAATATGTTTTTATTTCTAACTCTAATACAAAAGAGAAAGAACATCAAAAGACTCAGCAATCTGATTTATACTCTCAATTCAGATAGTTTCGTGTTTCAATGCTCCTTCTATTACGTAACGCAGTTTCATATGGCCAATATTATTATTCGATTCTAATATTAAAATACAATGAAATATACAGGAATAAAATAGATGATAAAGTTATGTTAATAACTGAAAAACAATGTTCTAAAAAATAAGATCATATTGCGAGCATGCTGTAAAGTCTATAGGAGACATGCCTCTGTGTTTGAAAGGTTTTTTTTCTTTCAAGCAACACAGATGCTTTTTAAGTCAAATGACGCATTTTCCAGCTTTACGATAGAGGAAGACTCATGCGCCCTTTTTCGTTTGCAGTACTATTCGTGGGGATAAGCAGATAAGCTATACCCCTCTGTGTTGCAATATTTTTATCCCTGGTTAATTTTCAGAGGTATGTTAAAAGGGATACACTTGCTGTTAGCATTTGCTGTGTGTATTGACGTAGTTTTCGGGAGGCCACATCATTTGTTTGTCAGTCCAAATGGATCAGACCAAAATGATGGGTAAGAAAACATTATAATGTTAATATTGTAATATTGTCTTATCTTTATTATATATAAAACTAGAACTGTGTCCAAAGGACACGGATGCTCCTACTGACAAAATAGATATGGTATATAGTGAAAAAATCAACAAAGAGCCATAATTCTGTTAAATTTGGTCGCAGCAAAAATTCCTTCTCGTACTACCATCTACACATTAAGGTTGTTCATCCCTGGAAGTTTAAGCAAATTCTGCCATCCGGTTAAAGAGGAGTTGCGTTCACAAAATTTTTATATGGGTATATATTAGGTGAAAAATCAACAAAGGGCCATAATTCTGTTTAAATTTGGTCGCAGCGAAAAATTCTTTCCTTTTACGACCATCAACACCATTAAGGTTATTCATCCCTGAAGTTTGAGCAAAATCTGCCATTCTCGGTATTTAAAGGAGTTTTGCGTTACACGAAGATTTCGAGCGACGGCCGGATGGAGCGTTGAGCGGACAAAACGGACAAGTGCACTTTGTGGGGGGCATAAAATAAAAAGATATGAATATAATGTTAGAGCACTTGAGTGCTGATAAAAATTAAAGTCAGGGCATTATTACGTTTGTAAGACATAGTCCGCCCTTTATCACAATACCGGAGAGCATATTAATTTTGTAAAACCCAGGGGCTGCCGTTTATCGAACCATGCGAGAAAATATTTCCTCCTTGACAAACATGGTTCATACATTGAGTCCAACTGTCATTTTGTATCACCGTTGATTAAAAAAAATCACGTGGGTTAAGAAGTCGGTCAATTGTTGCACAGAGAGTGGGTAATTTTACTGAATAGTTTACCAAAAAGTTGTTTAGTTGACCAACCATCGATATATGACATACATACATAAAAATCTAAATGAAATACATGTATTCTTAGCAAACGTACACATGGTATAATTCTTTTGTACGATTCCTTGTCAATTTGCGTTAATTTATTGATTTTCCCAAAGATCTATCGCTTCGAAATGTATACTTTGTATGCTAAAAACATTGTAAAATGTTTAATTGCCAAATAAACTATATTGTATATTATCAGAAATGGTCCCTAAAAACCCACCCTTAAGATCGAGTTTTTATGTTAAAGATGTATCTTTTCCAGGAGGATAGATTATTCAATTTGTTAAGAAAACGATTGTAGTGTTACTTCTTAAAATAATTTTTATATTTTAAAAAAAATGATATATTTTTTTAATCATCTCACGTCCTTTGAATTTTATGTAGCTCGTGGATATATATTTTTTAGCAAATCAAATTCTGGCCCTGTAACATGAGTTATCACATCAGTTAAATTAATTACATTTATTTAAATAATTAAATAAGTAGTCTTTCCATTCATTCATTCATTCATTCATTCATTCATTCATTCATTCATTCATTCATTCATTCATTCATTTATTCATTCATTCATTCATTTATTTATCTATTCATTCATTCATTTATTCATTTTATTTATTTATTTATTTATTTTTTATCTATTCAACTCTAAGGCAAATGACGGATGAGACCGATGTAAGTAAATCGTGCGCATTTATTTGCGAATCAGAAGTTCTTTCAATTTGATTTAGGTAGATAGTGGCGTCTTAATTGTTTCCATTTCAAAAATACTATTACAGAATTAAGAAAAACAAGTCTTTTCCTATGAAAGCATGTTACATATCTTTGCATTTTTCTTCAGTTTTTCAGACAAAAAACCATTCAAAACCATAAGTCATGCGATTGAGAGGTCTAAGGACAACGCCTACAACGGTTCTAGTGAGTTTATTATCATGTACTCAAGAAATTAAAGAAACTATCTGATTAAAGTAAAATACAATGTACGAGAATAGCTATTTTATTTATTTAAAAAAAGTTTGTCAAATATTTTTTGCAGTGGTTTAGTTAGTTTATACAAATTATTGTAGTTCATTGTGTGGAACTTATAATTAAGCTATAATAGAAGCAAATTTCGAATCCGTTCCCTGGAACCAACCATTCTATGCAATGAATGTATTTCTTTGCTTGCTGTGCACTGCGTTAATTAAGATACTCTGTATATTTGTACTTTATAAAAACTCATGTACGAATTTCCATTAAAAAAATTTTAAACACATCAATAGAAAATAATTTCATTAAAATATTATACCTTTACTATACATGTATAGTTCTCATTCAAAAGTCAGTGTTAACAATACAGTTTAACCCCCGAAGAACAGCAATTGTAGAGGAATTCCCTCATTACAACACCAGTTTCAATTCTTCCCAGCATAAGACTCAATCAAACCGAGTCTGCAATTTTCATGTAATTTTGTTGTGATTATGGCTTCTAAAGGCTCACACTTTTTCCAGATTTTATACTTCACAACAGGAGGTGTCAAGTGTTGTGTGGCAGCTGCAAAAAGTTGCGCCTTACTTCATTTCAGTGTTATAATATTTCTCTTTCCCTCTGGGATCATTGATTGCAACACATTTAAGTGTTGAAAATTGAGTACCGCTCAGGCCGGTGCAAGGGTGCTCGAGGGATGTTGCATTTTTTATTATCTCTAAAGTACACACTGAAATATTATTATGCAATTTTGCAATTTTCATGAAATATTGTTGTTATTAATGCTTCCGAAGGATCACACTTTTTATAGTTTTTTCTGTAAATTTAGCCTCTCTTGTGCAACGTCTCTAAGCAACAACCAAAATTCGGTCTCCTAAAAGGTACTGCTCTGCGGATGTTATACCGTAAAAACAATGTAACGTTATGCATTATAACTCTTTACATGTTCATTGAGCGTTAATTTGTTTATATTTAAATATAGCCATGTATATTGAATTGATGCCTGGCTACCATAACCTTGAAAGCACAGTGATAATTAAAAGGCCAAATCTCGTCATCCGGTCTTACAGGCGTCAAGAAGTTCACGTGGTATGTCATGTGCTTGTTATTATTTGTTCTTTTCTTTTATTTCTTTATTTCCTTATCTATTTATTTATTTATTCATTTAATTATTTATAAGAGAATGATACATATATTATTTTGAGACGCTAAGTACGACTTTTCTTTTTTATGTAAATTCGCTTGCAAAATTAAGCCACACACCTAATTAACATGATCTTAACTGCTTTGTTTGGTGTGTTTGTGTTATAGATTAATGTAATACATGTATATAAATATAGGATGAGTTCGTAAAAAAAATCTCTATTGGGAACACAATGCAAAATTAAGCCACACACCTAATTAACATGATCTTAACCGCTTTGTTTGGTGTGTATTGTGTTATAGATTAATGTAATACATGTATATAAATATGGGATGAGTTCGTAAAAAAATCTTTATTGGGAACACAATGCATCTTTTCATATAAAACCTTTTTTATACTGTAAAAAAAAATTCATCGTAATTCATAATTATAATACATTCTCAAAGAAATGAAATCATGTTTTTAAATGTCATAAGAAATGTGCTTGTTAAATTTATTGAATCTATGTCATAAGTCTTGTCATACTTTTGGCACATTGCATTATTCAAGACTGTTTTTCTAAAGTTTTTTACATCAAAGCTCCGATTTGAAAAATTTATTACAGACTGGAGGGCGCAGGATACCGTCTAACCTGGTCCACCCAGTAACAGATAAAGCAATTCTGTCCAGATTACCAGTTAATGCAAGGCCTCATGTAAGTTATACGATATGTTTTACTGTTTACATATACTTATATGTATGTTTACATATACTTATATGTATATAGTCAATAGTTTGTCCTAAACTGATTTGCGCGAGCACATGTTAACATCCTATCAAAATACAAGGCAATCGGTAACATTATAAACTAACCATACATTAGTTCAAATTGCAAGCTTGTTAATTTGTATGCATTTATTTTACCAAGTCAGCTGATTACATATTTTCTTTCTGTTGAGCCTTTTCAACAATTGTCATCATTTACAACTTCAATGGTACAATCCAATTCTAAATCTGGTTAAATCGGTTTAGAATATATGACACGAGCATAATTCGCCAGATGAAAGTATCAATATTTCTTGTCGGAATTCGAATCGGCAATGACAAATTAACCAATCGGTCACGGACGCCCCATTTGATATTTTGATATCTGCCATTTTGTAGACTTGTCGCCAGTAATGTCTTTTTTTTTGCATATAAATTATATCGTAGTCAGGCAAAACAAAATCAAAAGAAGACAAATCATGACCACAAAACATAACATTCGAAATCTTTGGATCACAGCAATCGATTCATCGAATAAATTTCTTATTAACGAAACAGAAAAAAGAAGTATATATTTCACACATCTCTGTTTTACAGATACAAAGATCTAGGAACTTTCATCTATTACTGATTCATTTCCCATAGCGTCAATGGTATAACTTCCCACTTTCCTTTCGCAGTGGACTTTTAAACTCACTCAGACATAAAAATTAGTGTTACATTTTAAATGAATATTTTTTGAAACAGAAATCTTGCACCTTAAAGTAGGATGAATAGTTCATTACTAGTATTGTGTAGCGCAACGTTTAGCGTATTTTCTGAATCGCTTGCCAATCATTTCACGGTTTATCAGTGTTTGTAACGTAACAGTTATTACTTATGATTAATAAAAAAATCTCTTATACCACCTTTTCTTATTCAAACATATTCCACTTTTTGAAATATCCGTCAAGGATGGGTGATTTTTTTTTCTAAAATCATCCAAACCAGTTCTTGTGAATTCGACCACCATAAGGCATAAACCATATTGATGAAAATCGATTTTGAAAAAAAAAAGTTGCAATAATGTCTTTCAGTTTCTACAACTTTAGCATCAATTATGCCACTATAGTTGAGAGCCGGGTTTAATATGTTTTTATCCTTTATAATAATACTTCCACAGAAACCATCATACTTTCACTGACAAATGGTTTTGACCTACATATTTCATATATTTTTTTCAGGTTCGAGTTGTTGATCTGCATGACATGAACATTACAGATTATGGTAAAATGGAGAGTTATGGCACGAATCATCACCGTAATTCTCCGCTTGAACTCTTCTTCAATGGTCAGCCGCTACATTACACAAGATGGCCAAACGATGTAACGTTTTTGTTTTAACTTCAATTTCATTTCTGAGAGCAATTTTATCAAAATATACAAATCAAAGACAGTGGTTACATTCTCGAAATATTTGGGTTTATAAGAAATAAATCATTTTTACACTTGATACTTAATATATGCCTGTACGTATATGACTTTATGAAAATATTTTTCTTCTCTTAAAGTCATGTTTTTATATGATGAGTGATAATGCTTAGTTTGAAGGACTAAAATTATTTAAAAACAACGTGTTTTCCGACATTCTATACCGCAGGGGTTTCTGGATATAATCAGCTTTCCGGATGGTGTCAAAGGTACACGTTTTCGTTACAATTCGACGGTACCACGATCTTGGCATAATGAAAATGATCCTTGGGTATACGGATACTGGTAATGCATTTAATTCATTGGTAATATGGGCATTGGTAACATAATATAGTACTTGGAATGCGGTTTATGACTATAATAATTCGTCATAGCATTTTTAAAAAGAAGGTTCTATGCTCATGAAATTTCGCTGATATGGTCATAAAATTTCGCTGATATTTACAAATTGATGTTTACGAAAATCTTATATTTCTCACTATTAATACATTGAATAAGAAACTTTAGGACATAAACAAAAATTGTGTTGAATCATGGACAGAGTCAAATCTAGACCACCAGATAATGATTTGTTTGTTGTTTTTTTTTTTGGTTTTACGTCACATCGACACAGTATTGGTCATATCGCGACGTTCCAGCTTTACTGGTGGAGGAAGACCTCAGGTGCGCTTCCGTGCATTATTTCAGGCACGAACGGGCACCTGAGTAGAACCACCGACGTTCCGTAAGCTAGCTGGATAGCTTCCTCACATGAAAGAATCCAATGTCCCTGTCGGGATTCGAACCCACAGCGGTGAGGGGCAAGTGGTTTGAAGTCAACGACCTTAACCACTCGGCCACGGTGGCCATGTTTAACCTGTAGTATAAATTGAATAAAAACCATGTATCCAGAGAAAATCAGCACAGCTCCTGAAAACCATATGAACCTTATTATATTTTAAGACAATATCATACTGTTAAATTTCCTAATTGTGTCACAGGTATGCGGGTTGGACGGACGAAGCAGTTAAAGTAAAATCTCTGGATGCCACCAATGAAATTGTTACTTTAGAAAGAAAACCAGTTATTGGATTCAGGGTAGAAGGTATTATCCAAGTCGAATGACCTGCAACTTCTATATGAACGGATAATTTAAACATCTTACAGATTTTTAACACTACACGAATAAAGTAAAATGTAATTTACGCTAGACTAAGAATAGTATGTCAATCTAACTAAATACGGAATGGGCTGAATTTAACATACAAGTATAAAAATGAATAATTTATAAATAATTTTTGATTTCGTTCTTAACAAGTTTCTATTTATTTTTTATTTTTATTTTGTACAACAGGGCATTGGGAGGAGTTTCAAACAAATGATGCAGCAGGCGAGGGAGGTCATTTCCGGTTTATAAATATTCTTGCAGAGCTTGATCAACCGGTAAGTTTAGAGGTGGGAGGGACAAGGGGGTATGTATATCTCCTCAACTTTAGGAACGTGGGGTAAAAGTAATACATATGTCACAACCATGTTTCTTTATGTTAGAAACATGACATTGGTGAAAACACTCTCTAAATATTATGTGCAATTTATTCCTGAATAAAGTGGGCTATTTGTTCAAAAAGCCAGCGTTTTTAATACACAATCAATGATAGTGAAAAATGCTGTACTCATATGCCATTTGTTACCAGTTTTGAAATATAACTGAATATGTATCTGTAATTCATGTGAATATTTTAGATTAGTGTCATTTACATTGTGAAATTTAATTTTAACACGCTTTAAACAAAACATGTATAATTGCAAAACAATAGTTAATGAAAATAACACTTGGTTGCTTGCTGCTCGTCATTATGTAAAAAAAATGTCCATAATGCAGCCCCACGACATTTTGGTGCAGCACAAATTTGTTCTTTATAATATTTTTTCTAGGTATTATTTTCTTTTTATGAATTTTCTCAGAAACCGCATCCTGTACACAATTGTGATTTGTATAATTTACTCTTAACTACATAGACATTTCTACGTAGAAGAAAGAACTTAGACTTATCGATCTGACAAACTGTTTTATTGTAGTAGCTTTTCTATCATGCTTATAAATTTTGAATTCTTATTTAAAGATCTGGAGAAGGGTGATCCCTCGGAAGCATTAATCCCAACAAAATGTGTGTAAATGCAGGCCCAGTTTGTTTGAGTCTGAACATTAGGGATAGTGAAAAAAATGCAACATCACTCACGCCCCCTTGCACTGCCTTAAGCTTTAAGCCAAAGGGCGAATACTATATGAACGTTAATTGTGTGGCCTTGAATTGTATGCACAATGTTTCACTTTAATTCTATCAGTTAGAATACCCCCGTTGTTGGTCAATTTTATCAGCTATTTTTTAGGTTTATCTTTTTGTCCTATGATATTTAATTGATATGTTATTACATTTTATTATTATTTATATTTTTAAAGCGTTAAATTTATCTCCTTTGGTTAGAGGTCAAGTAATTCGTTTGCAGACTTTTATTTTGTTTTATTTTACCTTGTTTATCGTTTGCCCTTTAATTTCAGGGCGAGTACTATCTTGATCGAGTAAGTGGAAAGTTGTATATGTGGGCACCAAATCACGATGGGAATATACATTCATCTGATGTACTATATATTTCTATGATTAATAATTGCTTTGAGTAAGTTTGAGTCATTTTTCACAAAAATATCATTCTTTCGAAGACAGCGACAGTGAGGTCTGTAACTTGAAAGTTGCTTTTCTTGGTCAAACTATTTTAGATATAAAATAAGTTCAAAATTTAATATGAACTTATGAAAATGCTTCAAAACAAAATGCACTTTTGATCTTTTTTGTCCATTTAACTTGCATGTTTATTACATAAAACACCAGTGTCAATGTTTTACACATTCTTTTTAATCATAAGGCAAACTTGTTGTTTTCATTTCAATTGTATGACGCACGAAAAAGACAGTACAAGTTTCCTGATACTTTTTAATTGCTTTACATTAACTTGCAATTACGAATAGGCAACTGATTAGTTTGTATGATCTTTTCTGAATTGTCTGGATAACTATCATTTAAAATACTATTCCTTGCCGATTGTGAACAGTACGTGGTGAATAATGAAAAATCCAATACCAATCACTTTAATATTCTAACATAGCACATGTCCATAATCTTCAACGTTAAAGGGTATACTTAAAGTAGAGCACACAACTTGTCTTCACAGATAGTACAGGAATCATTCTTTTTCAGAATTTATCCTCCGGCTGACAGTGTTCATCTTGAAGATTTCACTTTAGAAGCTTGCCGAAGGCACGGCGTTTTTGCCAATAATATGAAAAGAATAAAGCTGATCAAGCTTGAAATTCGAAATACTGGTAACTTACTTGATAACTGTAAAATATATTTTGTTTCTGTACTTCAGTAAAGCTATTCAAAATGTACATGTATGTGAATCAAATATTGCGTAAAATTTAGAATAATTTTAAGGTATAGTTGAGATAATCTTGTAACCAAAGAGCTGCACAAGAACAATGGAACTTTTATACAGTGCTTATACATTAATTACCCAATGTACTTGTATCATACCTTCTGCAGGGATGTATTTCATGTAAATTCACACAGTATTTATATTTTGCATAATGATGTAGAAATACGCTAGGCTTAACAATCAATGATTTTTAATTTTCAATAATCCTTTTGTTGTAGGGGTTATTTCAGACCAACACAGTAAATGTCTTACGGCGACTTGCTATCTTTAACGGCTGAGGAATTCCCAATTACAAATGTATTTATCATTATTTCAAAAATATAAAGTAAATAAAAAATTCAGATTCTGTCGTATATTATGTTATGAGTACAACAACTGACAACCAATGATATTGTATCTTGTCGTTTTATAGGTAGTATAGCCGTAAATATAATTGGAGATTCAAGGAATTGCCAGATTTCACAGTGTTACGTTCATGATACTTGCGGGGGATTATGGATGAGTGGTAATTAATGATAATTAGAAAAAAGTAGACAATTTAATCTTTCCTATGATTGCTGGATGTGGCAGACATTTACTAATAAATAATTTTCTGCAAAAGTTGCGGTTTGAATGTTTACTGATTTTGTAAAATATTTTGAATGATTATACTTACATTTAGTCCGTTTCAAGACTAATATACATGTATAAGCTTATTAATCATATCAATAATATTGATTTAAATCATTGGGACATAAAGATAGTAAGATGCAGGATAGAAGTTACGTTTGAAAACAGTATTATACCAAATGCTGAATGAGAATCCGACATTTGCCCCTAGTCTTAAAATGTCTCTTTTTTACATTTGTCATGTTTTTGTAAATTCATTTTAATGTATCTTTGGACATATATATTCCACATCCATGCTTGGAAATTTGCTAAATATACGTTCAGTCTGCTGATGTATTAATAAAATTGCAACAATTAATGCATTATAATTATGATCAAATAATATATAATCTACATAAACTTTAAACATAAACACAAGAGTGCAATTGATATACACATAGCAAATTTCAAAACATAAGTGCAAATATCCTGGAGGTAAATGTTTGTTTACTCATGGATGGACGTGAAATGGTTGGTATGGCTGATCTTTGAGAAACTTGTTAACATGTATATGCTGAATGTCAAACCTCACTGCTTAAGATGCTTGTTTAGTATCACGATATTCCAGGTGGAAACAGGACAATTTTAGAATCATCAGGCAATCTTATTCAACATAACGAAGTTACCCGGTATGACCGCCTTGGGGCAGTTGGAATTGAAGGTATTCATGTAAATGGCGATGGTTTCGTAGTCAAAAATAATCACATTTATGATGGACAAGGCAAGGCGATTGTTTTCTTGGTAAATAGATTTATGTAACTTGACCATGAACGAATTGACGAGTTGACTCTTTCAGAACAATTTGTCTTACAAATACTGAACTTCCTGTTTAAGATATTATTGTTTTGGGGGATTCATTCTATAATGATATTGTTTTTATTCGTTCTGAATTTTTCATGTATAACATCTTCCGTAATTGTGATACAAATAATTATGGAACTTCCTGTTTAAGGTATGTTCTTTTGCGGCATATTTTGTTCTGAATTTTCAAATGTAACATCTTCCATATTCTATAAACATATTTTTGTAAGCTTCGGAGAAAATACCTTTGAATGCATATTTTGTAATTGTAAAATAACAAGAGTTCATTATTTTTATCCGAACACAGATGCCCTTAGAGCTAATCAGAGTGGAGAATTAAATACCAAATGATATGAAATGAAAGACAAAAAAGAGTACTTAGGGGGGCAAGCCATCTGCTGTTTTTCCTGTTGTTGATGTTGTTGTTGTTGTTCTATATGTTTGTTTGTCGGATTGTTTTTTAGCTCACCAGAACCGAAAGTTCAGGGTGAGCTATTAGTATCAAAGGAGGATACTCCGGCGTCCATCGTCCATCGTCCGTCGTTATACATCAACACTCATCTTCTTCTCTGAAACTGATTGGCAGATTTACTTCAAATTTGGTCTGTAGCATCCTTGTGACAGTCATACTTATATTTGCCCATGTCATTTCAATTGGCCTCTTTTAGGGCCCAAGAGAGTTAAAAAAGAAAACCCTATAATATATTCTGCAACTAAATTAAAAGATGGATGATAACCAAAATTTGTTTGTAGCATTCTAAGGTAGTATTTTATCAGATTTGCTCATTTTATTTTGATTGACCCCTTTAAGGGGCCGCTAAAGCTAAAAAAAAGAAAAAACATTTAAACGTCTGTAATTGATAGATGATCACTAAACTTTAATTGTCTGTAGCATTCTTATGTAGTGTTTTATCAAGTTTGCTCATATCAATTTGATTGGCCCCTTTTAGGGACCGCTAAAGCTAAGAAAAGAAAAACCTTTGAACTGAACATCATCTCCCATGGAAAATCACCAAATTTTGTCTTGTAGCATTCATAAATAGTGTTTTATCAAGTTTGCTCTTATTAAGTTGATTGGCCCTTTTCAGGGGCTTCTAAAGCTAAAAATACAAAAACCTTTAAACGTTTGCTTTTACAGAACTAATTGATGGATAATCATACTGTAGCATTCTTAGGTAGTGTTTTATCAAGTTTTCTCATATTAATTTGGTCCCTATAGGGAGTTGTTAAAGCTAAAAATAAAAATACCTTTAAAACATTTAGAACATCCTAAAATCTATTTATAGAAGTAGTTTAATTAACCGCTATGGTAATTGAACGAACGGGAGAGTTTTGCAGAATGAAATGCAATCATATTCAACCATTAAGTGCACCCTTTATAACTTATCGAAAAAAATAAAGTAAATTAATTGCTCCCCAGATTATCTAAATCAACCATGGTGTTCTGAATGTCTGCTATTAGAAGTTGATTCAATCGGTTTTATGGTGGGTGGAATGTTCATTTGCCGGAAACTGCGACATGTATTTTACAACAGAAACTTTCGTCGAGGTGTTAGTGGTTTATTGATAGGAATGTTAATAAACTGGAGGATCAGGCGAGGATTTTAGTTGAAGCACTCAACAAAATAATAGATTCATCATCCAATAAATCAATTAACAATAGCTCTTTATGTTCTTTGACTCGCATGAACATGATGTTAGTGAATGAGAATGACATCTGAATGCATGTTTTATAAATGGTATTTTTAAAGATGAAAGGAAATGACATTTTAAAAACATTTTCTGTAGTATAAATATAATTTTATTTATTACAGGGTAATGACATCAACATGATAAATAACCTTGTACATCACGTTTGTAAGAACATGTCAAATTGCCAGGCCTTTAACTCGTACCATGATGTGTCGTTTGTAAGTATAAAAGGAATTACTTATTCAACGTACACAAACACTTTCATTATATCTATTACTATGATCCCTTTTTAGTTTAAACATATTCATACATACATACATACATACATACATACATACATACATACATACATACATACATACATACATACATACATACATACATACATACATACATACATACATACATGATTGTACATGGTAAATGGGTTGGAATAGTTGGAGTCTATGCATTTCTTAAGGCCTCAACAGACGGTTGGATTTTGAATTACAACACCAATTAAAACTAAGATGTACAAATAAATCTTAATGTGTGAAGGCTACTATTTCTTGAATTCGTAAACCTTAAGTCTAGATGTAAAGGATAGGACATGCTTTAATGTGAAAATCTTGTACAGATTTCTAAAACCTCCCACAATGACAAGTAACATATAACCAAATTGTCTCCTGATGATTGGTGCTATCCATGAAATTCCAGAACAATTTGGGCTAAAAGGTAAACATAGTAGTAAGAAGGGATAAAATGATGTTGAAAAAAAATCTTCAGGAGACCCAAAGTTGTGGTATGCTGAATCCCAAATTGTTCCAAAAATGATTATATCATGGCATCGAACTGTTCTGTTATCAGGGGAGGTAGTTTGTAGGCGGCCGGATAGCTCTGTCAGTAGAACCGCAGTACGGTATTCCGAGGGTCGAAGGTTTGAATCTCGGTCAGGCTGCTCATTAAAGAAAAAATTAAACATTTTCTATAAATGGAGGTGTATCAATCATAACTCATGTAGAAAAAAAAATATTTAGTGAGTAAAGTATGTAAGGAATCAATTGGGAGGGAATTTTTTTAAGGGAAACCTGAGATGATTCCTACAATGCAGGATTACCGTCTGAATGCAAGTGTTGTATTGCTTTAAAAATTGTACATCTTATCTCTTATTAGTGTTGTACAACTAAATCCTACCGTCTGTTGAGGCCTTTAGCTTCAGCAGGTAAGGTGATTTTTACCTCTGGTGTTGCTTTCAGTTGTTAGATACGAGGTTAGACAAAATCATCTTGTCTGTTACAGCGCCATGTAACCTGCGCCGTAAGCCAAACCGATCAAAATTACTTTTTTGTGTTTTAAAAATGTTAACACAATATTAAGTTTAAATAATCAAGAAAGAAGCTTCTCGTCAGTCAGTAGAACTGACATTCAGTAGATGGCCCCACCTGAATTATGTTACTGACGTTGAAACATCAAACTTAGTTAAAATTACATATAGTTGTACCTTGCTGGGAAAAGTATTAAAACATCTCACCATTGACATATTTACTTATATTATATTCATGTTCCTGTTCTCAGGTGGAATTCGGCATATTATTTCTCAAAGGTAAAAGGAAAAATAGGACAGAAAACTCATAAGCTTTTATAGCTTTCTGCCTAATCCCAAATGAATTGTGTAAATATTGTTCATCATAAAGTAAATATATCGAATAAAATATGTTTAAACCAAAGGTAAAACATTTTAGAAAGCTATACGACTCGGCTGTCATTTAACTTTTACTGAACTAATAGTATTTAATCACTCAATATATAGCCACTTGCTTTTCCAAATACAATATTCCAAAAATTTTAATTTTTCAGCGTGGGAATATTATACAGTCCAACATTGTGCATGATGTCTATAAATTAATTCCTGGTGGTCCAAATAGAGCGGTTTATCTTGACAACTTAATATCCGGTGTCAAAATAGTGAATAACGTATTCTATAATGTAAGTATAATGCCAAGTTACTCAAATACTTAAAATCATTTGTTTGAGGATAGAAAAGCGAATATTCTACCTTTAAAATTAAGCAAATGGCTTGAAATGCACTTCCAATTTGACAACTTTTTAAACAACAAGTTTTTAAATAGATATTTGCACGAAATTATAAGAATTTCGACAAAATATTGGTAATTAAAAACATTTATTCCACCAGATTTCTTTTTGTAATTTCACACAATAGACCCAGCAAATTGTACAAAAATGATAATACAATGTTGTTGAATTACTGATAATTTAAATACTTTTAACAAGTTCAAGCTCTTGAAAAGGAAATATTCTCCTTGATCTACTTCTAAAGGTAATATAAACAACTTAAATTAAAAAGAAATATATAATTGAATAATACCATAACAGAGACAGCTAGAAGGAAATTCACCAATCCAGATGTACATTCGGAATATCCGAAAATGATATGATTATTTCAGAATGGAATCCATGTGATTATCGGAGGGGGACAGTATAACGAAATCAAAAACAATGTAATGTATAATGCCAAGTATGGGAGCATAAGCGTCGATGCTCGTGGAATGAATACAAACCTTAGTAGTATGCTCGATGACCGTTTACATGTAAGTGACCAACAATATAAACTTTCAATAGACTTTATCTTAAAAGTAACACAAATAATAAGAAGGTAGGTCAACTCAACCGCAATATTGAACTATATTGCAAGTTCTGATTAGCTGGGCCTTTTCAAGGGTACAACCTATGGTCCACGCACCCTAGCACGGCTTAACCAGAGCCCGCTATTTTTAAACATGAAAATGATATTTTGTTTAAATCAAGAAACACCCGAACGACAACTTTTGTTCGTTGGCTCGGATGCATCTACATGGTCATTAAGGCTTTTTTATTTCCTTTTACAAAGATTTTCACAAAATAGTTTGCACAATTTGATCAAACCATTGTTTTGTTAATTGGAAATTGATTTCTATTACTCCTAAGCTAAATGCTATTAGAAAAATTGTGCAATCAGAAACAGCTTTAAGGAAATATACACTTTAAATTAGATGACCTTAATGTCAAATATTGAAATCTCTAACTTTCACTTAATAAATCCACATGCCCCTTTCCACTGTGGATTCGAATCTCGCAATTGACTTTGAACTTTGTCATGCATGTGAAGAAGCCATCCTGCTTTTTACAGAACATTGGCGTACTACTCAGGTGTCCGTTTATGCCTGAAATAATGTACGGGGGACATTTGAGGTCTTATTCCACCAAAAACTAGAATTGCGTTATATGGACATTATATTTCTGATAAAAACCCAACAAAATACATTTTAAATGGCTTATAAACATTTCTTCATCAGGCAGTGCCGTACAATGCATCCCTGTGGAGTCTACGTTACCCTCATCTTGCAGACATTGATCCTGTACATGATGGATACCCTCCGATAGGTGATATATTACTGCTGCTTGATATTCAATAGTAACATTTTATGGGAAAATGAAGCCTTCAAAGTTCTAATTACTTCTCGTATATCGATCAATTGCACTTTTTGTCATTTCAATCGTTTTGTTTGAAGTTTTCATTGTTAGACATCACACATATGAAAGTAAATACATGTACTATAATAAATAATTGACACATACAAAGAATATTACACACAACTAATATGTTTTTAAAAAATATATGCACACAAGCTTATTTTTAAACCCCAGTCACACTAGAGCTTACGATTACTTGCGACCATCGGCGACTTGTAAAACAGACAATCATCAGCGATTGTCTGCGACCAAAACAATTTTTGCACAGATAAATTTACTTTTGCTAGTATCGTAAGACAAGTCATCATTGACAATCGCACGACAGGTCATAAGTAAACGTACGATGGTCTAAAGATTGCCTAGGATTACTTACGACTACCCGTGGCATAACATGCGATCATCTACAACTTGTCGTACGACCATCACACGATAACTAAAGACTACTTAAGATTATCAGTGACTAGTGGTAATTTGTAAAGACTGTCGTAAGATTGTCGCACTTCCGAACGACCATCGTGCGACAGCCCTAAGACCTTATAAGATCACTAGCGACCTGTTTGATCGCAAGGAGGTTTTTGTGCAAGCTCAAAAACCTCTCTACGACTGAAATTGGTCGTGGGACCTAAGTTAAACTAATATGAGTAATGCATTACATGAACTTACTAAAACGCCACAATTTTAACTGAAATTGCAAATAAATGCACAACACTTACACTACTTTTAATGACCAAATATACTATCAAAATCCGATTGATGATGAGCAAATAGACAAGAGTCGCAACTGATAACAAAATTTGCATAATTGAAATGCAATTTTAAGATATTGATAGGGTGTCCACTGATTTAATTTTGAATGCTTTTTGTCAAATAGTATTTATTTATGTATTTATTTAAGTAATGTATCTGTGATTTTTTTACATAATAATTGGAATAATCTATTACAGTTCATCATGAAAATCAAGTTAATGAATGGAAAACAAATTTCAAGTTAGAATGCTCTATAAAACCCCAACCTTAACATGTGATCATTTGATCTAAATAGAGCATTCATCAGGAAAAATTGAAAGGTCAAATGCCAATCCAACTAGTTACTCTCTTGTGCACTTGTCGAATATTCCACTACCATTCATTTAAATTGATAGAAAGAGCATCGAAACACGAGGCTACCTGATCTGTACCAGTTGGCGTAACACCGTGTATAAGTCAGATTGCCGAGTGTTCTGATGTTTCTTCTCTTTTGTATTCTAGGCATGTTGTCACAAATATGAACCACAGAAAAAAATAACCAATAAACGAGCATCTGAATATGATATTTCTTTCGCAATCCCTTTCTCTGTCGTCACAATAAGTATCACCCCCCCCCCCCAACAAAAAAAAATAAAAATGAGTCAATCAGTGGTCATGCTTTGTATACGCTTAAACGCTGACACATTTTCAACAGAAAGGTCCCATGTAAGTTGTATCATGGTTTGGGGAACTTTCTTTTGCAATTGTGTCATATTTAAATCGTGTACACATACATGCACAGTGCGTTAACTGGAGTTCAGTTATTAGTTACCCGCACTCCAAGGCATGCTCATTGATTGGCTATTTTTATCTTGGGTTTACTTAATGTGACGACAGAGAAAAGGATAACGATAGAAATGTTGTATTCTGATGCTCGTTCAATGGTTACTTTTTTCTGACATGACAACATGGAACGTGTTTTTATTGTTGACTATGACACAAAGGAGAAAGAACATAAAAAAACTCGGCAATCTGATTTCCCTTATACATATCAATAGCCTTGTGTTTTGATGTTGTTTCTATTACATATTCAATTAGTTGATATGAAAGTGAGCCAAGTAATTACTGGAAACTGCTTAGATAAAATAGTATTTTGATACTAGTATTTTGATATATGACCTACATACATAACCAATCAAAGATAGTTACTGAGCTTGAAGACTGTAATATAGTTCTAGAAGAAAGGAAGACAGAAAGGGAATGACATACGTAGTGTAAACAAATGTAACAAAATTCAGTTTGTTAGGACTATCGTTTGTTATTTTTATTGATAAACATCACTACGTTATAATGTTATGATAAGCGTGCAAATTAGCTGAACTATTGTGATATAATGATAAGTTTTCCTTTTATAGGTAATCAAATATTCAGGAATATGATTTATGCCGCTCCACATACATATATCATACGTGGAATTCCTTCACAACTACAAGCCAACGCATCAGCTTACTTCAACCTATCACAAACAGGCTTTGTAAGTTTACTAATTATAACTTACTCCTTTATAATCAGCAGGACGCTCTTTTTCTTATATTCAACAATTATAAAAATTACCCCTTTTGCTGGTGAACTTGAAGTGGATTGATCTACAACTGGAACAATTTCAAATATTGATAAAAGCAATAGAAATGTACTAATTGGATATAATTACAAAGTATTCTTGAAAAACTGTTTACCTAGTTTTAAGTCATTTAGTATAACTATTTAATATAAGAAACACAATTTTATTATCTGTTTTATATAAATAAAACCATGTATCTCATACTTGCCAACATTATTCATGTATATACTTTGTGGTTTATTGTCGCGTATGATACTAAATACTAAGAACAAACATAATTAAATAAATAGTATCATGACCCTAGCTTTCGGATTGTTGTTTTTTTTTTTTGTCTGGATCAAGAATTTTCTGATAGACGAAAAGCAAACCTACAGTCCTGTACTGTTAAACCGGTAGGGGCTGGAAAATTATTATTTTTTAAAAGCCTGATGAATTACGTTTATACGAGTTGATTTTTCATTACAGTCGAGTGGAAGTGGAGACCATGTAGATGTATCCCAACGTGATCTAAGGGTAATATGTAGGGCTAGAACGTGGGCAAGCATTATTGGATTTCACCAAGTAATGTCGCCTAATTCTGTTGGCCCTTCTTCTTCTGTTGGCCCAACGTATCTTAACAGAGGTAAAATTCGTACCTAACGTATCATTTTATTTTTTCAATAGAGTACAGTTTCTGGTATTTTCAGATAAAATTTTACTCAGCGAATTTGCACTTTTTCTAATAAAGATACATACATTTACTTAGAATATCATCATTTTAATTAAACATTTGCCCATGAAATTTAGACAATCGTCGATAAATTCAAATGACCAGGAGACAAACTTTATCGTGTAAAGATGATGTTCAAAATTCTGGAAACAAAGTGATCCCTCGGAAGCATTAATCACAACAAAATAATATAAGAATTGCAGACTCGGTTTGATTGAGTCTGTACATGAGAGATAATGAATAAGTGCAACATCCCTCACGCCCCCTAGCACCGGCTTGAGCGGTACTCAATTCTCAACACTTTATAGTGCTGGCATCAATGATCCCGAAGGACCAGAAAATATAACAACACTGAAACACTCTTTTTTCCCGTTAATCTTGATTTTTCTTGGCAAAATCATAGTGAAAGTAATTTAAAAATTAGATACCTCAGATAGCAATTGATATGCTGACATCAAACCACTCTTTGAAGAAAAACACTGTATGCCACTTCTGGTGATACATGAAATTAATTAAAGAAATTAATGTCCGTTTGAAATGGGTACTCAACATTATATTATTTCTATTCTTTATTTTATGTTTTAGGGAGAGTGCACCTCGTTAATACAACTGTACCTTCGAACTGTACGACAAAACCCCCACCAACAGAACAACCTGTCCCAGCATATATACCTGATGGTTCAAACGGAAATGAGGTGTTCCATAGAGTGGATAAAACAGGTGATTTTTTTTCAAGTACTTTAAAAATATACGGATAACTTTATTCCTCTGTATGCAACAACAAAAGAGAAATAATGTATTATTCTTTGTTCTCTTCTTACAGAATTGGAAAACAAATCAGTAATCTTCTATATGTTTTCTTGACTTTTTTCCAAGATTCTGAAATGTTTTGCTTTATACCCTTTGATATTCTATAAAAGTAATTGTCAAACAATAGAATATGTCTTCCCAATTGATTTTTAAAAAATCTTTCTGAAGAAAACTAAGATACTTGTTTGTCTTTATAATACAGTAATACATGTGTAAATTTCAGAGTGAAATAAATATTTTTTGATTAGTTTGAATGTTAAAATTATTTTCTTTTAAGGACATGAAATCAACTGATGCTACAGTTTTTTTAAATATGCCAGTAAACTATTTTATTCTTTAATTGAGAAAACACCTGGCAAGTTAAAATACCTTAACTATACCAGGTTGCTGGTTGAATGTCACGCGATGTGCTAAACACCCCACCACTATCGGTGCATACAGGGACATGTATGGCGAGCGATACCGTAACGCCTCAGCGAACGAGTCAATGTGTTTCCGCCGGGCATTAGAGCATTGGCAGCTGTGTGGATCTAACTTAAATGACCCTGTCCTAGTTACTTATGGTCCAACTGGTAATGTGAATTTACAATTTAAGTCTGATTTCTTAATATACAATATGAGAACAAGCATCTATGAGGAAATATAGATATCGGAAATAAGTATTCGATATTATATACGCTTATTGTTTCAAGTTTAAAAAACATGCAATTTTTTGGTCTTTTTTTACGAAAGCACCTTCGTTTTCAATCTTAACCAACTGGCGCATATATTTGTATAACTAGTGGAATATGGATTCCGTCTTAGTAATACCATCATGTATGGCAGAATTAAGGCACATAAAACGTCCAGAAGGCATATTTTGCAATTTCTACACGATAACAGCTGTATCTTCATTTAATATTAACCACAAATTTTATTTTCTAGGACGACCCTAAGTTAATGGACGTGTATACTGAAAAAACTGAAAATTTTAAGAAAAAGAATTTGCTGTCAGAAATCAAAAGATGTCTACATTTGATTTCTAAGATTTTTGACATTTACAATTGACCATTGCCAAGTGGCCTTGTTTTGATATATAGTCGTATTTTTCAAATGTTGTTTATGCAAACAAATAACCGATATGGTTTATTGTAAGTTTAACCCCCTGTACTTAGGACATTGGTACAGTTTGATGCATTATGAAAATAAACTACTATGGGATATGGTTCTGTCATACTAATGCCATTTTCAAGTTTTGGCCTTTAATTTCAGATTAAATTTTTGTACATGTTATTGGATAAATATTTATAGGAAACTCTACGCTTGGTGGTGACAGCTGCTTTGCTTCTTTGTACGGATGTCCAAAACACGGGGGGCCTGAAGATGGACACCGTAACACATCGAGCGGCCGATGGTTCCGTGATGGGTCTCAAAGAACTCCCGGACAGGAAGGATGTTTAAGAAGATCCTTGGATATTTGGCGATGGTGTGGTTCAAGTTCCAATTATCCTGTTACTAGTATATATCTGCCTACAGGTAAAAATGAAAGATAACATCTCAACTTAAATTATCTCCCGCAATAAATGCTTTCTAAAATTAATATTAAATCATGGATTCATTTTTTTAAATATCAATGGATACGATTATATTATTAAACAGGTTTTTCCATAGTAAAATCGGTAACTTAAAAAAAATTCAGTATTCATTTTATTTTTGTTTTTTCATATGATTGAAACTTTTGCTTAACTGGAGTGAATGCATATAATAATATATCAATTCTCATTTTTTAAGTTTCGTTAAATGAAGAAGATGAAAATTGATTACTGAAAATCATTTTATTTTTATCCTTAGCCTGATAACGTCATCGTTTACCTCATTGACTTACATTGAACTATCATTGTTCAATAATCTAGAAGTAATTGTAAGAACTAGATATCAATGATATGATTAGACAGGGTTAACCTTTGATATGGTAAAAGAATCATGTTGATTTAGCCCTGTAGTATACCCCAGAAATGCTTAAAATCTTTTACATTTTTGTTGCATTTTCTAATTTCTATAACTGTACTTATTGTCCAATTACTTGAACAATGCTTTTTTTTCCGTTGCTTTTTGGAAATGAGTACAGTTATAATGATTTAGTATTTTGTAAAGTAGTCAAAATACTACATTAACTTTGTTCCTTACTTTAATGACAAGTTATGTAACATTAAGTGCTACTTTCTTCATGAAATAAGCATCTAATATAAAACTAGTATTTAAACGTAGAAGAATTCATGCTCTTACTTTATGTAAGAATGTATAAATTTCTGTTGCATAATGGGCTTTCAAAAGAAATTCACTTGTTCTTTATACGATATATAGATAATTTGAAATGTGTATCTTGAAGGAGCAAAAAGAACTGCCGGTGGTGGATGCTGGATTTCCATGGATAGCTGTCCTAAAGACAGGAGAATACATCACATGTTTTATGATGTGTCGGGAGCGACGTATTATCAAACTGGTAAATTATTACATGCATATTCGAATATAACAGAACATGCTTATATTTTTTAAAGATCTTTAATTTCATATATTTCTAGACTAGTTATATTGTATCGGATAAAATAACTACAATTATTATATAACAATTGCCAGACACAATTAATTTATCTTTTAGTTTTCGGTGAATCTTTCCAGTGTCTACAGTTTAATTCAGGTTGGCTGAGCTATCCAAACGCTACAGTTGAATAATGCATAGTCGTTTGTCGGCATGGTTTGCACAAAAGGACATATGACTTTAGATCATCAGACCTCTCCACAGTCTTGAGAATGATTGCTAGTGGCATGCATCGAATGAATCTCATTCCAAGCTTGAAATCATTAGAACCAGTCTACACTTGTTTTAGTTGTGATAATATATATGAGCAATTGGCCTAGCACTGACTGTAAAAGGGAGTGGTGAATTTTTCACGGCTAGATACTAGTACTAGGGGGTTCCATTATGGTATCCCAATACCACTGTGTATTACTAATTAAGGTTCTTTTCTTGTTCATTCTCATTTTAAAATCAGATAATCGTTTTCGCTCCGTTACTCTAGCGAAGGGTAGTGGAGCGACAGTTAGGATATGATTTTAGTTGTGACAATAATCGCATTCACAATCTTTCAGCCGACTCATTTGATCGACATATAAGATCATTCTCACGCGTAATCAGCTACCTGTTTATGAATTCGCTGAACTGTTTTCAATTTATCTTTTGTAGATGACAATGAGTTTAACTGTCTGCATCGGGCCCAATTTTTCTGGAGTCACTGTGGTTCTCATGCCAATCATCCAGTCACTGCCACTTATCGCCCGACGACTAAAAGTCTTACATATCCATAACCAAAAAAGTTGTAACAATATCATGGAATTAAAAAGAAATAATAAATCGATAAAAGTAGTGTTGTTTGTTATAATTTAACTGCTGCCAAGTATAACATTTTGCCATTTGTGTCTGTTATTTTCATACATCATTCAAATAAGGTCGCCCTGAGTTAGCAAGTAAAACAATATCTTATCGAATATCCCACTTGGTGTTGGAAGTTTTAGTAAGTTTTTTATATTTTTATTTGCGATGTTTTCATTTACAAAATAATGTAAATAAAATTAGATCTCACGGTATGAGAAGATACCTTTAAAAGCTTTAAAAATCCACCGTCTCAATCAATATTATTAATTAAGTCATTTTAGTGAAATTGAACGGGATCGTATATCGAGGAAAATTACATATTACGGTTATTGTTTGCATAATTAATATTTGGCGGGTAATTTAAAGATAAAAGTAAATACTTGAGGCAAAACAAGCGTAATCATATACTCTACATGTATTTGATCAAGTGTCAACAGAAGAGAAAATGAAATGTGTCAGTAACCAAGAAAGGGATAATCAAGAAAAGGATGATAAGGACGAAAACAGACATTTAACAAGAACATATAACCACAAATCCAAAAGTGACAAAATAATTAAAGATTGAAGTTAAAAACAATTCTGTTAATCTTAACAACAGAATATTGATTATACTCGCGATGTTAGATAAATACATTTGATAATTGATAAGACAAAAGCATTCCATTATTTATTTATTCCCCTTCGCTGCGCTTGAATTTACTTGAAGACTTCCATGTATTCGGTCGATCTATTATTACATTTTAAATACTTGATCAGCCAGTTGCTAAAGTGTAATCAGTTTGTTTTGCATTGATGGTTTTTAATGGCAATATCTAATGTTCACTGCATTACGCAGTTTATTTCTTATGATTATTGAAAGATAAACTCAAACTGTGTATATTTCATTATTCTCAATTGTGTTGTCCATATTATGGAAGCCAGAGTGATAAGATAGATACAGAACACTATGAAAAATCTTGGACTATGATACATATCGGACTATGATAGATCTTTGACAATAAGTAATTTGAGACTAAAATATATTTATCTGCAAACGAAAGCATTTGTTAGGAAATATACGGCTAAATGTTGTAATAAAATATATATTTGAAAAAAAGTGAAGCAAACAATTGTCTGTACCCTGAAGTCTGCTAATATCAGAGGAGTATCCCTCTAGACGTACAATAGTCAGTATTTTTTGTGTGATTTTGTTGTGTTCATTGATTTTGAGGACTCGCCCCATATTTTTAGAAACAGAGTTACTATAAAATTGCTGAGGTGACGGCATTTTATTTCAAAACGATGTGTTAATTTCCTTTTGACTGCTAAATCAATATTTGCAATAAAGTGGCGATTGAATTTGGATGTTTATTATTTAATTCTATTTCAGTAATTTGGTTTGCATATTAGCCTTCAGTAAAAAAGGATAACAACGGTTCTTAAACTGGTTTGACGCTTTTTGAAAATGATGAGAATTTTAACATATTTTCTATCAACTTGTCTGTTAAATGCTTTGAGCTATGCAGATGAAAAATATCATTTCTCTAAACGTATCAGTTTAGGCGGCGATAAAAATATCTATTCTTTCGAAACGCTTTTAAGAAAAGGACTTGGCGATTGCATAAAAGAATGTAAATCGAAAAAGCAATGTAAATATATCAACTATGAAATAAAAACAAGAGCATGTTATTTATTATGTGACAATGGAAGTAACGGCATCTCAAACAGTTTAGAAAATAAAGGCGGGTACATCTTTGGGAGTAAATCAGAATGGAACATGGTAAGTTAATCTCGGTATTGGTTATTTAAAACTACATTATTATGTCTGTATTTAACATATTATATGATGTTGATATAATGTACGAATTAACATAAAATATCCGGACTTCCAATACTTTTGTCGATCTTTGTCCAGCCTCAATACACGTTATAGATTATTGTCGACAATGATTATGTCTCTTTTTTAACGACAATTGTGTACACGCAGAGTTTTGCCCATTGATATAAGAACTTTGGGCTATTGATTTCAAGAATCTCGCCTTTTCCCCTTGATCTTTGTTCTCATATGTTTTAGTTACAGAAGGTGAAATGCCCTGCCACATTTTTGGATGTTTAAAAAGATTTTCGGATAATTGTGTATCACGTACAACCGTCTACTACTTGCTTTCCCGATCAGTTTTGTAAAGTCAGGCACAGGCTTTGACGCCTAGCTAAGGAAATGGTAGCAAATATTTAAACTTGTCATCAAAATACGTCCGGTAGGTCAGTAACATTGATAGAAATGGCAAACAAGCTTAGCGTCGGTAACATATCCACACACAAGATCTTACACAAACACCTAGGCATGACAACGGAACACACAGGATGGGTGCCACCTAGACATCTGTCCGAAGATCAAAATCAACCAAAGTGAGATACACGCAAAAGAAAACATTTGAGTCGCTTAAATCGTTGACGAGATCTGTTTTTGAACTACATTATTCCTGGAGATGAAATTTTGGTTCTTTATAGTGTGTCTCTTTGGTGAGCAAAATGGTCAAAACGAGCTACCTTAAAGAATGCCCAAAACGGCAAAATTAAAAATGTTGCAGTCTCTGTTTCATTCAGCCTGTTCATTGACGTATGTGGTAAATGTAAGCTACCGTCGATGACCACTGACATCGGCTTAAGCAGAACTTGGCATTAAAATATGAAAAAAGTTCAGAAACTTCCGCTTATATGTTTATATCACGGCTATACCGAATCTTCAATTTGAAAGTTTGTGCTATTCCAAACGGCGTATGGTCCACACGTAAAAGGATACGAATTCCCTGAAGGAGCGGAACTAAATGAAATGGCATTTTGAAAGGCAGGGAATTAGTTGCTGTGAATAGAGAAAATGATTCCTTAAAGAACGTCAAGAACGATATGAAGTCGGAATGTAATAGACCAGACGCCAAAAGACAAATTTTAGAGACCAGGCAACATATACAATGAGAATTAATACATTATTCAAGTTGTAATACTAGAACCACCTAAAAAGAGAAAAAGCTCAGTGAGAATGATCTTAAAACATCATAAACAAAATACTAAATATGTAATTGCGTCGTGCTGAACGATCTTCACGGATAAGAAGTATCTTTGATACAATTATATCAGTTTGATGTGTTATATATGATTTGGCTTATACCTTACAATCTATAAATGTTTTATGCCGGTGTTACGTAGTCACAAAAATACTGAAATTTGCTGCTCTTACATTAAAACTATGGATGCTCTGGGGAATAAGTATTTGAACATTTTTGTAAAATGTGTGACATTGGCATGAAATTTTTTTTTGTGACATGTAATGTGATCATTGGCAAATTCGAAAACACGGTTAGAATTCACATGCTGATAATTAGAGATGTCAAAGACGCCATTGTTTGTAAACTTTGTTTTTAAACAGCGTGCCTAAAAATAGATTTTTGAAATTCTTAAAAGTAGTAAAAACCTAAAATGTGTTCTCCTCTGAAAGTGCAAGTTCATCATAGTGTTATACAGCACAGTTTTTGTTTAATCAATAAAAAGCATTAGGGACGTAAATTGATATCCTTCCAATTTATATAATAAGAATCGATGAACTTAATGCAACTGATGCATGATCGATGTAAATTGGTATCTTTTCATCAGCAGTTACGATTAGTTCTCATTGTATATTGCATTAATGTTTTAAAGAACAGGAAAGCGACGAAGGACTGATATGCTTATCAATGACTGTTTATGTATGGTATAGACGACAAAAAAGTAGTTTCCCTAACCTTTTACTGGTGCTTAAACCTGTTTGAATGACATTGAAAAGGTTTGCCAAGTTTTTTTTAGATATGGGCTATTCAACTATCTACAAGACAAGAAACCGCCTGAGAATTAACACAGTTCTTTGTGAATAATTTTATACTGAAATTTTCATTCTATGTACGGTTCTGTTTTTAAAGTTTTTGTTCCGACACGAATGAATGTCATCATTAAGCACTTGCAAGAAAATTAATAACAATAGCTAAACACATTTTTATTTTTGTAATAGCCGCTAAAGTAAATGAATGGCAACGATTCAATTCTTATTAAGGGATAATGGTTCGTCACAAAGAACAAAACTTATTTCAGATTCATTAGTGGAAAATGAAAGACGAGCATCAGATAATTATAAAAAGGCGAATTCTCAAGTCATTGAACCGTGTGGCTAAATTCTTTTTCAATTATATTGTAATCTTGATCTTTTGTAGATGCTGTAGCTCTCTCTGTCGGCTTGGGAGTTTTTCAGTATCTGTGCGATATATCGTTTAAAATTATTTTCAATGCCATGAAAAAACAAACATTTTTGATATGAGTTGAAATATTGTGACACATTGTTGTCCTTCGAGTTAACTTTAATTTGTATGCTGTCAAGAAAAAAGTTTACAGGGAATTAGGAAAGCTGGCTTTATTCTGACACTCGGATCTGCTGTTATACAGCGCCTAAAACGTAGGCCTACTGCGAGTTTCAAACCGGAAACACAAAAGCTGCTGTAGAAGATGACAAAGTTCTAACAATAGGAGGAATACTTGTAAAATGCTGAATGGTTTTCTAGAACGCAAATTTCTGTAAGTTAATCATAGAGATGAAATCTAGTGAAAGTATAACAAAGGTTTAAATGCCATTAATGAAGCCTGCTTGTAGACCCGCAGCGTCGTAACTGGATGTCCTTTGATTAATACATTGCATCGACATGCCTAATGTCTGTATAATTTGGTCATGTTATGTGTTTGCACTCAGGAGTAAGAAATATGAACACAAAAGAAATATGAACACAAAATATCAACAAGGAATGTCAGCGTTTGAAGAACGCATCCCGAAACGCAGCCAAGCAACACATGACCACCGGCAATTAGCGCAGCAGGAATGTAACCTGTAATAGTGCAGGCTATCATATCCATTAGTTTTGTACACGATGTAAAGCAGCAATATGAAATTCGATAACATTACTTATATGAGGTTATATAGCAGGCATGGAAGA